ATAGACACATACTCTTTAAATCCTGTTGCTTTTTCTATGAGCAATTGGTACAGGTAAGAGGGAAAAAACGGGCACAGATGTTAAGAGTAAAGGCTCTGGAATCCACTGCCTCGTCAAAGTAAACTCTACTGAGTACAAGCTCTGTGATGTTCTGCAAGTGTTAGCACCTGAATGCCTAATTTCTTCACCTCCAAGTTGCGGGCAATGATGCCCTTTCCACGGGGCTGTGGTGAGGCGTACGTGAGCTAATTTATGTGAAGTGCTTACAATAGAGCCTGACCCCTAGCACCCAAACTCTGACCAGCATTATCTTGTGAATAGGACAAAGATCATGACAGCAGCAGAAGCAGCACTGATGTTAGGGAATTACAGACCAAACCCTGCCCTGGGACACCAACCCCAGTCCTACAGTAGGGACTGGCAGCTCACACTGCCTTGGGCCTCACCTATGTAGTACTTCATCTCCGTGTCATGCTGGTTCATCAGCTCTAGCAGCCGCAGCTCAATCTGCGCCTGGTTCAGGAAGGCCTTTTTGTTCTTGATGATCTTGATGGCCACCAGCTCCTGGGTCTGATGATCATAGGCTTTCACCACCTGTAGGGGCAGGGTATGTCCCAAAGTGAGGGAACTGGCAGGGGAAGGGGGTGTACAGAGGCAGAGCCTGGCACTACTGTTGTCCCTCCAGGCAAGGGGGCCCACCAACATCACCGTCAATGTTACTAACAGTAACTCAAAACCAAGTGCTCACCAACAGTCAGGTATAAACACTGGACACGAAATAACACAGCCACCTCACATGAACAGTCCTGTTAATTGCAGTTTTCCTTATAGAAAAGAAATCTGAGGCACAGGGAACCCAAATGACTGGGCTGGGGTGAGTGGCCACTGACCCACTGATGGTGTGAATCAGTACCAATGGACACCCATGTCCCCTGATCTCTGGATCAGGATGGGGGGGACATCCCGTACCTGGCCAAAGGAACCTTTGCCAATGAGGGAGTCAATCTCATAACGCTCCAGCCAGCGCTCGCCACTGCGCACTATGTAGTCATGGTTGTCATCGTCATAACCGTGGTTTAGGACCTTCTTCTCCTTCTTGGTGCTTGAGTCCTGAGGAGGCGCCTGCTGAGCTCGCCGCTTCTTCTTCGCATAGTAGACCTGCCCAGCCGGACAGCCAGGAGGTGAGTGGACTGCTGAGTGAACTGCGCCATCAGCCAGGGCCCCTCAGCACTCAGCCCGGGTTCCCCATCCCCTACCTACCTCATTGATGTGCTTGTAGGTCTTGATGAGGTCCACGGAGAGCTTACGCAGTGGGGCCGAGGTCGAGTCCCGGAAGGCCAGGGGAAGCCTCCGAGGCAAGAGCCGCACATCAGGTAATACCTGCTGGGCAGGGTAAGAGGTGAGCACCTAGGACAGGCCTTTGCCTTCATCCTCAAGGGGGAGAACTAAGGCGGCTGGCTGATCATCACCACATGCATATTTATTTGGTCACCGTCTGACAACCCCACTAGAGGAGAAAGTCCCCAGGGGCAGAGGCTATGTCTTGTTCTTGCCACGTATCTCCAGTGTCTGGAGCAGGGCCTGGCGTGTAGCGGGCAATCATGAAAGACTGGCAGAGTGAATGCATGATACCTATTTTCCCTAACCTTTCTCTCACCTCACACCTTTACTCCTTTCTGAATCTCAGTGGGAGAGATCTTACAGAAAACCCCGGCTCTCCCCTTCCAACTCTTTGCCCGAGACCATCCATTTCGGTATCCCACCTTAAGGGTCCCCATCTTGCTTTACTCCCGTTCCTTGGGGCGTTCACAATGCTTAACCCAGACTCTGAGCATCTCTGTCCAGTTATTTCACCCCAAGGGTCCTGGATCTGGATGCAGCACCCTGGACCTCTCATTCCAAGCTCTGTATTTCAGAGCCTGAACAGTCTCTACCTTTGGGGATATCTTTACCCTGCACCCCTAGGCCCTGCTGGCTACAACACCCCTGAGGCTCCACTTTCTTCCCCTTTCACCCCTTCCCCATATTTCACTCTGGACTCTTTTTTCTTAGTGAACATTTGTTGTTTACTATGTGCCAGGCACTGCCCTCAACATTTTACATGCATGTCATTAACTGGTTTGATCCTCACAACAACCCTGTGAGGTAGTACTATTATTAGCCCCATTTTACAGAACAGAAAACTGAAGCATGCAGAACCTAAGTAATTTTACCATCATGCCTGGATTTGAACCCACACCCTCCAAACCCTGACTGTGCCAGCAACTCCTCTATTATTTTCAACTCTTTTCATACCCCTGGGAGATTGTTCTAGGCAACCACACTATCTTTTGGCCCCAAGACCCTTCTTTCCCCATCTTCTCCCTACCCCAGGCAGGTGAGAAGCCAGTTGAACACATACCTGTGTGTGCTCCTGGGGCCCCGGGAAGCCAGAGAAGGGACCATGGCCCGGTGGGACGGCCATGGTGGGCTCAGAGGGCCGCAGGGGAGCGAGGCCTGGAGCGGGAGCCCGGCCGGGGGGCGCCTTCTCGCATCCTGCACCTCGGCTGCCACCGCCGCTGAGACCTGAGAGCAGGTAGGAGGCAGGGGAACAACAGGAAGAAGAGGATGTGTGCGACAGTGCCAGGCAGGAAAGAGGTGGACATTGGATAGAAGGCAGGGCACAGAGGGCAGATGAAAAGGGTGCAAAAGAGCAATGGGTAGGAATGGAGAGAGGGGACAGAGAGAAGTGGTGGGGTAGGGGGGAAGGCACAGCAGAGTCCCTCAACAAATGATGACCGAATCAATGAGGTGGGCAGCACAGAGTGGGGCACATGATAGGGAGTCAGACAGGAATATGGGCCAGGACAGAAAAGGACAGAAAGACAGCAATAATTGGGGGGAGGAGGATGAGAAAAAAAAACCACAAACAGCATAATAGGGAATAGGGTTCACCCTTTTCTTCCCATTTCCCCTTGGCCCTCCCCAGGGCCCCTTACACAGGATCCTGCAGTCTTCTCTGAAGCTTAGGATGTCATCTTATGGAAGAAAGGTCCCTTTGCCCCAAAATCTACCATTCCCAGTAGATCCCCCAATCCAGAGAAGACTAGGATGCCCCCACCAAATGACATTAGAGTCCTCTAGGCTCCCATCAAACCACAACAAAGTCCTCTAAAACCCCAGCAGGGTCCTTGGGGACCTCCTGATCACACTGTTATCTGAGAACTCCCATATAACAGAGTCCTACCCCTATGGCCTGCTGGTCTTACCAGGGCACACCTTTCCCAGCGGACCTTCCCCACACTATGCCAAGACCTCTCCCTCTATTATTTCCTCCTACATCAGGGACCACCCCTCCACCTAGTTCCTCTATACCATATTCCAGTTTCCCCATGCAAATCTGAGCTCTTCCCAATATTAAATCAAGGTGCCCCTCCCAATCAAGGCCCACTCCTCCTGAGGGGATCAAAGGGGAGGTGTCTCTTCCCACGGTTTACAGTGATTGTCCTTGTCTTCCTACACTGGTGTCTACCAACCTCCTCCTAACCTCCTTTCTCCAGTTACTCCTGTCCACTGGGGTGGATCCAAAACTGTGCCCATTCCTAGAAGGCTCCCACAGACAAATCCCCCAAATATCGTGGAGTTCTTTCCTCTCAGAGTATGTCCCACCAAAATCCTCTCCGCACCGGGCCTTCCCCCATGTCAGTCCTTTTCTCTTATGCCAAGCCTTGACACTCCACGACCCCTCTTCTCTTGGAGCTTCCAGCCTCCCCCAAACTCTCTCCCACAGACCCTCCCATACCAGGACAGTCTCCCCCAGCCCCTACCCCCTACCAGGGTCAGGGCTGGCGCTGGGCCCACGGGTGGCTGGGGCGCGGTGGGGCCCCCAGTGGGGTGGGCGAGCAGCCAGCATGGCGGCGGTGAGGAGACGGCCGCCTGTCCCGGCCCGACCGGCCCGGCAAGCCCCGCGGCGGGGAGGGCAAGCGGGACAGGCGGCCTGATGGGTGACCAGAACAGCCACCACAGGCGGGGAGGGGAGAGGAGGGTCAGCCCAGGGCACGAGAAAAGGGAAAAGCAGGTGGACGGGGGGAGGGGCGGGCTAACTCTCCTCCCGCCACCCCCGCCCCGTAAAGCCACCCGCCCCCAGGCCCCAGGGACACCGATGTCCCGCCCCCCACCCTGGAGGACCCCCCTACAGCACGGCCGGCCTGAACTTGGCAGTCCACACCTGCCATGGCAACAACCGTGCCATTGGTCGCTGGGGCCAACAGCTCAACGAATCACAACCCAGGGCAGCTGTTGCTAGGCGACGACGATGCAGCCAGCAGAACTGAGCCCAAACAAAGGGCGGGAGCAGGGTCCCAGTAACCCCTCCTAAGACACCTTTCCTAGGGCTCATACCCTCCCAGCAATCCTGCTATGAACAGCCAGGCTCAGTGGCCTGAACCTGCTCGCTGCCCCACTCCTCTCCTCCCTTGGCCTCCTAACTCTCCCCAGGATAAGGGCAGGGCGGGTCCCGTACCACCCCGCTCACTTGAGTGCGAGCCGCCCTGTCCGTAGCCGCTTCATTACCTGAGAGCGCAGGCAAGGGAACTCAAACTGCTCGGGAAGCCCGAGCTCGGACCTGCCCACTGGCTGAGGGTATCCTGCAGACGCAGCGAGCCAGGGCCCTGATTACCCAGTAATGCAACCAGCAAAATGGCGACCACAACAAACCGCACCCCCACCCCGCCCCAGCTCCGCCCCCACACACCCTCAGTCTGCTCTCCCTCACGTGACCCAGGGCAACACACATATACACAGCGCCTGCGCTCAGGGGCGCTTACCAGTACACATGCGCAGTGAGCTACCAACCCCGCCTAAGAACCGTGGGGAACTTGGGGCAGCACAAAAGACAGCTAAGAAAGGAGGTTGCGCTGCATGGAGGAGCTTGCACTCCTACCGTCACGCAAGTTAACCAAGGGCGCTTACGCCCTGTTGTCAACAGAAGTCGCCAATCAGCAGCAGAAACAAACCGGAAGGAAGGATGAGTCTTTTAATAGAAAAACACAAGTGTAACAGTAGCAACATAATTTCTCGCAATCCAGATGGAGCGCTGGACTTCAATTCTTCACCTTGGGGGGAGGCCTGTGAGGAAGGAGATTGTCACCACTTTAGGAGCTCGCCTAACAAGTACTAACAAGTACTGACCCGTGTGGCTCTGGATGCAGGGGTCAGACACATCAGCCCTGATGGAGTATTGAGTCCCCGGCTCACCTGTACACACCCACAACTACAGCGTGGTCTCTTTCATATGGCTCTAAAGTCAACTGCTCCTGGGGCTTCATGTTCTCCTGTTGCATCTTTTTCACTTCAGAGGCGAACACTGCCTCGGCAGAGGCTGTGGAATCGATGCAGTTGGCCTGCAGAGGGGAGAGGATTTGAAGTCTGCTGCAAGGCTTTGGGCTATTTCTTTTCTGTGCTCTTTAAATTAGTACTTATTTTTTTACTGGAAAGGGCAAAGCTCAGGTTTTAGAAGCTTTCACTTTGGTCTGGGTTTGGAACAGGTACCCTTCAACAGAGTCCTATTTATCTCAAAGCCAGCCCTAAATTTTACATTCGGGTTTTTTTTCCTCTTCTGTTTCCTCAACAATAATGCAGCTGAGAATAGGAAAACAAATGTAGCGAAAGGCTAACAAAATGGTGAATCTGGTTGAATGGCACACAGCCGAGTTCTCAGTAACTCAAAAGAAAACATTTTTAACAACGCACCTAGCATTTATCTAGTATTTATTCTATACCAGGCTCTATTCTAAACATGTCACATATATTGCTAAATTTAATACTTACACAGATACTAAAAAACATAGGACTGATATTTCTATTTTACGAGTGAAGAAAACAAGCACACAAGTTCACTGCTCAAAGTCACACAGTGAGCTGGAATTCATACTCGAATTGTCAGACTCTGTGATCAGGTACTTGACCACTACATTCTACTGCCTCTTTAAGTCCAAAGCTTCTAGTTTTGCAGACATTTTTCATCACGTGCTATTTGACCTGGGCCAGGGGATGGCTTGTAGGAAGCTGAGTAGGGATAACAGCTGTGAAGAGATTAATTAGATTAGGGGGGATGAAGGCTCCCTTGTTTTGACTGGCTGCTTGGCAGTTAATGGTAGAGAAGATATGAGCACCCCATCTTAGACTCCTCCAAGCCCCGCACCTTAATGGAAATCACAAAGTGCCCTCCATTACGTAGGAAGGTGTGGGCATTCAGGGCTACAATCCGGGTCTGGTCTGGCTGGGCCACGTCGGCAAAGATCACATCCACCATTGCTAGGGAGAAAGAAGTGGCAGTTAAAAGCTGGGCCCACTGGATCTTCCCAGCTCCTCCCATGGGGCCTGCAGATTCCTGGTGAAGGAGTCTTCCCTACCTCTGGTCTCACTGCCCCACCAATGATCCCTCACCCTACACTGTGACCCCAAGAAATCCACAGTCACACCATTCATTCACGCCACTTGTAAACCATGGCTGCCACCTACTCTGTGGCCAGCCCCATGCTGGGCATGGGGGAACGGAAGGACAAGTCAGACCTGGACCCTGCTCTCCAGACACTCCCAGGTTTGGGGAGGGGAGAGGAGGAGGGACAAAGGTCAGGGGAGACAGACATGCCATCAAAAAGGCAAGTAAAGGTGACCACTTACAGGCAGGGGTGTTTGCAGGACTGTCAGATAAAAATAAGTTGCATGACAAAGGGTATAAGTGTATGGGAAAAGCTCACAGAAAGAAAAACCAGCAGAATGCAAAGGAATATTTTTAAGACAGTATGATTAAGAAAAATCATACTGCCTTAAAAAGGCAGTGAACGATACTTAAAAAAAAAAGAAAAAGGAAAGATGTTGTAACGAAACTGACTTTTTTAAATCGGGAAAACCAGACATCAAATTGTTCATGTAAGTTACCTCAGAGGGTGACTGACTTATAAAGCATTCCATTTTTACATTTTGCTTCTGAATTTTTTAAAAAAAATCAAAGTCACTGATATTCACAATGGGCTCCTCTAGTCCAGGCTACACTCTTTGTGCACTCTGGGTTATGATCTCACCAGACAATGATGATGAAGACCTCTGAAGGAGGCTTTTATACATAAGCCAGGGCCAATGTAAAAGTTCCATATTTTACAGGGAGTGTAGGGCGGCCTAGGAAGAGGGCCACGAGGTCAAAGAAGAGGAGGCCAGCTCTCTGAAGGTGCCAGATATCCGAGATCCTGAAGCAGGACCATTATCTATACCTGGCTCACCCCACCGTTTTCATTCCTGTAGACTCAAGAGGCCTCCTCATCCATTCCAAGTCCATCTGAGTCAGAGCTCTGGCCTCTTCCAGGAAACTGGGAGAGGCCTGTCTTACCCCACTTGGGCCGACCCTGGAATCCCTCACCAATGAGCATGCGGTATTTGTGTGGGTGCCGAGCATCTTCAATGACAGGAATAATGTTGGTCCTCTTCTTGGCCAAGTTAATGAGGTCACGGCCAGAGCGGTGGGAGAACTCAACTGCATAGACCAGACCGTCCTAAAAAAAAAAAATCAAATAATAATGACAATGATACTAGTTCCCATGTATGGAGCACCTACTTTGGGTCCACATATTGCAGGAAGCATTTCTGCAAACCCCCAAATCAAAACCCCACCAGTTAACAACTGTTGTTATTATGTCCATTTTACAGAGGAATAAACTGAGGCTCAGAGACGTGACACCACAGGCCAAGGGTTATTCACTCCCACTCTGCCTGATTTGAAAACCCAGGCCCCCAACATAGGCTTAAAACTGGGATGGTAGGGCAGAGAGGTAAAATCTTAACAGCTAAGAGTATTTGTGGTGGGCCAGGCATTGGTCTAAGCATGTTACAGAAATTAAATCATTTACCTTCACAACAACTCTATTTTCCAGAGGAGTAAACTGAGGCTTGGACAGATTAAATACCTTGCTGAAAGTCTCCTTGTTAAAAGACCTCCACCACAGCCTTGGGTTTACAGTCTATAGTTATGTAGATGAGCTAGAGGTCATAAAGTCAGATGCACAGATTCCCTCTATACAGGGAGCCCGTGGAGCCACACAGAAATGCAGGCCCAGAAACTGAGATCTCCTGTTCTTTCCAGAGAAACCGGAAGATCAAATTACAGGGGCATAAATTTTTTTAAGAGGGTAACTGAATCACGTAGTTTGGTATCTATCTATCTATACACTCGATTCTACGCCTGGATAACTGGTTACCCCAATGCCCAGGTCCCTTTCTCTGTGGGCCAAGGACTCAAGAGTGAAGCTGAATGAGCTTTTGGACTCAAGCTGCTCCTTTTTCTCACAGGCACTCTGTGAGAAAGGGGCCTAGCTCCAGCCACACAGTACAGGGCAGAAGAGGAGACCTTCCTTTTCCTCCCACCTCCCCACCAGCCTTTACTCATATCCAACCCCCAAACCTCCCTCCACTCACCGGGCCTACAATGTCAGAGACGTGAGAGACGGTGGTGCCTGAGGCAGCCCCGAGGTAGAGCACCTTGGCCCCTGGCTTGATGTGGATCTGGTCCACACCGCCCAGGATCGCTGCTGCCAGCTTGGAGCGGAAGGGGTTCCAGGCACGGTACTCAACTTTGTCATCTCCCTCCTGGGCCGGAGAGATGGGGATGGCAGTCAGTGCCAGACTCTTCTGCGAGTCCCCACTGCCCTTCACCCTGGGGCCCTCAAAGGCACTCGATCATTGTACAAGGATGAAATGTGGGTATGTATCAATGGCCATGACAGATGTGGTATCTGACCTCTCATGGAAGTTACTGACTCAGAGAAAAGGGGCCAAGACAGACAATAAACAAAGAGAAGAGCCTACCAGATAACGGCAAGATCTATGCATTCGTTCCAAAGCATCTGCGGTGTCAGCACATACTGTGTGCAGACCCTGCAGCAGCTCTGGGGATACACAGTGAAGAAGACAAAGACCCCTGCCTTGAAAGAGTGAGGATGCACTGAACTGACGGACACACACAGACAGAGAGCGGTGAAAGGTGCTAAGGAGAAAGGATCAAGACAGGAAAGTAGTTGTGAAGCACAGGAAGCAGGGAAAGGACCAGGTGCAAATGAGAAAGGGCAGCCAGGGAAGAGCCAAGTGGAGACCTGAAGGAGATGAGGGGCCACTCAAGTTATCTGGGGGGAGGCTCACTCCAGGCGGCAGGAAAGGCAGCAGAATGGCTCTGAGGCAGGAGTGCACCCAGCCATAAAGAAAACGACATGGGCTAACACAACAGGGGATCGATGGTGAGGGCTGTTTTTGACAGATGGGGTGGTGTAAGGAGGCCTTTGAGAAAGGCAAGGTGATGCCTAACCAGGGACGCTGGTGATGAGAGGGAACCAGCCCCACAGATAGCTGGGAGACGAGCACAGCAGGCAGAAAGAACAGCACAGTCGTGGGCTAGAAGACACTCAGTCAGAAGGACAATGGGAGGAGGTGAGGCCAGGGAGTGGGAAGGGGAAGCTAGAATGTGCAGGGTGTCCTGGGTCACACTCGGATCATAAACCTGAAGGCAACAGGAGTCACAGAAGGCTTGGGGAGAGGAGTGCATGATCTGACTTATGTATTAAGATGATGCCCTGGCTCTCCTGGGCAGGGCACAAGGTGGAGGCAAGGAGGCCACACTGCAGGGTACAACAGCAGCTGGAGCCCTGGTGGCTTTGAGAGGGGCCCAGGTCTCACCGAAATTGAGACTCTCTTCTCTCCATAAACTGATTCTCCAGGGACCAGATTCTTCGTGACCAGTGCATCTTCCTTTCCTCGACAAATGAAAACTCCTGGGCGAAGGGATCAGTGCAGCAGTGAGGACTCTGGGCCCCACCCCACCCCACTCCCCCTTAACCTCAGCAGGTTCCCCGCCTTTCTCACTCACCCTCGTGCCGGTGAGGTTCCACCATCACATTTTTCCCTGACTGATTTCCCCTTTTTCCTCCCCGACCACGACCCCGGCTGCCACCAGACTGGAACCCGCCACCTACAAGGGAGAGATGCAGTGAGAGAGGGACATCCCACACCTCTTCCCTCCCAGATCCGCAAGCCCAGGGAAAGCCTCCTCCCCCAACCCACTCACCTCTTCCTCCTCCTCCTCCTCCTCCTCCTCCACGGCCTCTGAAGCCTCCACCACGACCTCGGCCCCCACCAAAGCCACCTCGGCCCCCACCAAAGCCACCTCGGCCTCCACCTCGGCCTCCACGGTCACCAAAGCCCCCTCGGCCACCGAAGCCACCCCCACGGGGGCTGAAACCTGTGGTGGAAACAGAAACGGGAATCAAGAGCAATGAAGCTTGAAAAGTTACTGCTATACCTCACAGTTCTACTCAGGAGAGAGAACGGAGAAACACGCACCAGGAGGCACACCCACGAATGTCCACAGCAGCAGAAAAATCAGGACTAACACAGATGTCCACTGGCACGATGGACCAAAAAAAGGGGGGGGGGGTGACAGTCACGATCAAAGTGAAAAGGACCTACAGTTAGCTGCCAAAGATAGGTAAATCTTCAAACCAAAGTGTTAAATGACAGAGCAAGTCCAAGGAAACCACATCCAACATAACATCCTTTTTATGAAGTTTGACGTGAAACAACGCTATGCTGCGGTGGTATGTGTGGTGACCCATGTCCCACCCTCACCCCAAAAGAGGCAAGAGAATGATAAATGCCAAACTTATGATACTGGGTAATGGGAGGGAGAAATGATGGGGTTAGGATAGGGGAGGGGTACATAGGTAGATGTAGGTTACTGTCAATATTCTGGTCTTCTTGGATGGATGGCAGATTGATAAAATTCATCCTATTTTCAATAGTAACTAGTCTGCCAAACACTGAGTGTGTGTCCACCATGGCAGTAGGTTCCTGAGACCCTGGAAAAGTCTTCCTGTCGTCCTACGCCCGACCTTGTGCCTGGAACAAAACTGCCAGCACCCAAACAGAGAGGAACCCAGCGCAACGTCTTGCCCACTAACTGGTCTCCTGCTTCCAAAACTGCAGAAGTCTTTGCCAGCTCAGGGGAAAAAAAAGAAGGGAAAAATAAAACAAATTATGCTTTATGGATGGGCAACAGTCTATGAGGAGTTTAGGGCTTGTGAACAAGATTGAAAAATTAAGAAAAAAAAAAAAAAGAAAAAGAAAGAAAAGATTCCGAGACTTCATTTTCATCACTTTGGGACAGTGCAAACGGTCCTCACTGAGCACAAAACAATGTCTGAGGTGAACAGAGTTCTCCTGGTGCTAACAGATGCAATATCTGACTTCTGACAGTTTCAAAAGCTCTGGAAACTGTCAAACAATAACAGTGAGAGAAAGCCACCCACTATGAAACTGCTGATTTAAAATGACTGGACTTGATCATTATAAATTACTCAACAGCAAACGTGCTCAAGTTTTTTGTAAAGATGTGTTGTATTTCCATCCTATCTATGAAAGCTTCGTGCATCTTAATGGTGTTAAAGATGAACATGTACAACTTTTTAATGGCTATTCCTAATTTGATTCTTAACAATGAACAGTTTCAAAACTCCTGCACATAACCCAGAGTTGCTTACGTTTTCTCCTCACCTCCCTCTACATACTAATGTCTGCGTGGGAGCTAGTGATGTCTTATTTATTTATTTACTTACTTTATTTTATTTATTTATATTGATTTAGAGAGAGAGAAGAAGGGAGAGAGAAACATCCATTTGTTGTTCCACTTATTTACGCATTCACTGGTTGATTCTTGATGTGCCCTGACTGGGGAACAAGCCCACGACCTTGGTGTATCGGGAGGACACTCTACCCAGCTAAACCACCAGGCCAGGGCCCAGGGATGCCCTTTTTAAAACAGGGCACCAGATCCCACCAGCCCCCTTCCCAAGTTCCTTCAGTGATTTCCCGTCACATTCAAATGAAATAAAATTTCCTTTTTCTGGCTCCCAAAGCCCTAAAGCAGTGGGTCTCACCTTCGGCCAATCCCTCGAGCCTAGATATCCTTTTGTAAGTGTCTGGGGTGGGGGAGCTTTTCCAAGTTGCCCAGGTTACCCTAATGTGCAGCCCAAATGGACTCCTGCCATCACAGGGCCCTGCCTTCTGCCGATTCTTCTGACCTCACTCTCTCTATGCTGCGCACCATGCTCTCCCTCCCCCAGAATTCACTCTCCAGCTTCTCAACCTTTCACATCTTCTGTTCCCACGGCCTGGCCCCTGTGGACATCTGCTCGGCTCACCCACTCCTTTGCTGCACTTGGGCCTCTCATAAATCTTCCTTCCTCAAAAGGGCCGTCCCTGGCTACCCAGCATTTACCCCACTCTTTTTCTTCTTATCAATTACCATCCATGGTATTCTCAACATTAGTACTGCCTGCCTCTCCCACTAGAATCAAGCTCCAAAAGGACAAGGATGTTTAGTTGTCTTGGTCACCACTGCATCCCCAGCACGCTGCACAACACCTGGCACAAAGTATTAAGAACACTGCCTGCTGATGATGCTTAAACCTCTGGGTTCTGCCTCATGGAGAAAGCAGCCAGTCTGTTCATTCAAGAAGCAGGTGATTGATTAGATGGTGACCGGAGCCCTGGTTCCTCCCCTCACGCAGTTCATTTGCAACCCTAGAGAAAAGGAAGGTTCTTGGATGTCTTGAAAACATCTCAAAGACAGAGATACAGAGATAACACAGTGCCCACCTCATAGACTTGAAAAGATTAAATGACTTAATACATACAAAGCACTTAATTCATTGCCTAGCACAGTCTGAATGGGAAATGTGTGCTCCCCCCTACTGAGGGGACAAACCACTAGGCCTAAGGCTCTCAGCATAGGCCTGACAGAACAGAGACCTGGCAATTAGGGGCGTAGCATGGGGTACAGTGGGCACAAGAATCAACTTTCAGTCCCAGATACTCAAAACCTATCTCAATCCATTTCAAGTCCTGGGGCTCTTAGAAAGTACCCATTCCTCACAAAAAAAACACATGTTCGCATGCACTTCTAGAAGTTTTGGGTGGAGGGGCCCACAGACCTGCTGGTTGAAAACTGCTCCCCTCCAACAGCCTTCCTCATCTCAAAAATGGCAACTCCCTCCTTCCAGTCACACGCACCAGAACCCTTAGTTGTGCCTGACTCCTCTCTCTCACACCCACATACAAGCTGTTGGCTCTGCCTTTAAAATCTATTCCCAAACCGTAATCTGTCAGCCAGGTTGACTGCCACCTGCCTGGTCCAAGCCACATCATCTCCTAGTGGACCACAGCAACAGACCTCCTCCCGATGTGCCTGCTTCCACTCTTGCTCCGCTAAAGTCTCACACACAAAGGCAAGAGGATCCGTTTAAAAAGTGTCAATCAAGTCTGACAGACAGCAAGTCTGACTGACACCACTAAGAATCTCCCAAAGGCTTCCTCCCTCATTCAGACTAAAATCCCCATTGAAGAGCTGACTCCTGACAACTTCTCAAACTTCCTATCCTAACACAATAAGGGGAAGGGCTGGGAGGACTGTGTGTACTCCATTCCTGGGACAATCAGACCACAGGACGCCTGGAGGCTGCCAGGGTCTCGTGGGAGATACACCTCTAACACCTCCCACCCCTTCCATCAACAGATCCCCAGATGAAGGAGAAAGAGAACTTGGGAGGGGCTGTGGATCCACAAATCCCCCCTCACCAGATGATCCTGTCTCTCCACAGGCTTAAAGAAAAACAAAAACAATGTGTACTAGAAAACAGAGGCTGCCCTGGCCAGGCAGCTCAGTTGCTTGGAGCGTTGTACCACACACCAAAAGGCTTCAGGTTCGATTCCCTGGCAGGGCACATATGGGAGGCAACCAATGGATGTTTCTCTGTCACACTGATGTTTTCCTTCTCTCTCTCTCTCTCTCTCTCATCAATTTAAAAAACATTTCCTCAGGTGAGGAGTAAAAGAAAAATTAAAAATTAAAAAGAAAAATGAGATGCCTTTGGTCACAGTGGGAGATTTCTCCAACTCCAGTAGAGCACGTTGGAGGGAGGGAGGCAGCCTGATTTAGGAAAAGCTGAGCCCCACCAAGGGGATCCTAATCTGTTCCCCTTGAGAAGAAATATAAAGATAACACTTAGAGCCAATACTATTATATTGCAAGCACTGTGTAATTTTTCAACTTAATATATTGAAATATAATTGGCACATCACACTGTGTAAGTTTTAAAGTGTTGATTTCATACACTTCTATTTGCAAAATGATTACCACGCAGTGCTATTTTTTAACAGCATCTTACTAAGCTGTAACTGGGGGTCATTTTATTGAAGAAAAACCGGGGCTCAGAGGTAAAACCACTTGCCCGAGGTCGCAAAGTAAGTTAAGAAGCAGGGCCAGGATGAAAACTTTGAACTGAGGTCCTTCTGCTGTCAAAGCCAGGGTTCTCAGCATTCCACCATGAGGGCGATGGGATGGGTTCACCAAGCTCTGGAGGAAAATCGAATAGAAGCACTCCTGCCCCGTGACTACCTCCCTCCTCCACCTCACGCTAATCCTGTCCTGGGCTTGTGAAGTTTCACCTCACCCGGGGTTTGAGAATAACTAGGCCTCAGACCTTCACTCCATCCTCAGGGACCCGCCCCCTTGGGAGAATAAAGAGCGGGAAGGTGGACCAGAGGGCCACATATAATCAAGGCAGGAGTCCTCACTCACTCCAGCCTTATCGAGAAGATTGCAGGTTGGGGGAGGCGAAGGGTCAAGGGCGGCGGCAGCCGTGGAGGCAAACGAGGAACTTCCTAGACTCAGCTCCTGAAGATTCTACACCTCCAAACCAAGAGAGATTCCCCAAAACCCACGCCCAGAGAGCGACGACCCCCAAATGCCTGGACCCAAACTGTCAGTAACGCCGGCTGCAGCCCCGGTCTAATGTCCAAAAGCCTAATGAAAACCTCAATGAGACGAATCCCAGGTCAGGACCCCCCAATCCCAGGCTAAAGACTAGACACATGACCGTGACCTCCGAAACCAGTCACAAACCTCTAGACCCAACCCCTAGGCTCAGGATCGATCATAGGGCGGAACCAAGACCCGCTCCCAAACGACACTGAACCAGGACCCCTTCCCCACACCGGACCCGGGTCTCGGAACCCCTGCCCCCAGACCAAGGCCCCGCACCCCAGATACCGCTGGACCCCAGTCCCTGACAACCGACCCCAAACCCGTTCTGCACCTGGCTTCATGGCGAGCGCGGAGCTGCGCGGCTCAGGATTCTGCGGCGTCCGAGCCCCCACGAGTCCGGGGCTTTCGCACGTGGAGAGAAGCGCACGCGCGCGGCGACGTAAGGCCTGAGACGCAATCACGTAGACCCGCCTCTTGGAGCGCCGGGCCAACCCGGGATCCTGCCCGCTCCGGCTTCGATTCGCGAGCTCCTAGCGTTTTCGACTCGCTCGGCGCTACCATTGCTTGTACTGCGATCACAACACTGTGCTCCCTGCTTCCCCCTTCACCGATGCGGGCGCCCTGTAATCGAGTCTCATCCCTAGACCTTCACATGGGCTGTGCCTTCTGCCCGCCTTCTCTAATTCTAGTTAATTCCCTGAGGTCCCCTCTTCTACATCCCAAAGCTTTCCTCGGCCCATTTCGGCCCCCAAGAACGTGGACGATTGCGGACTCCCATTCATACATTAGAAAAGCTTTTACTATACGTCCGTCTGTCCTAGACACTGTGCTAGGCGCTGGGAATACAGCCGTGAACATGTGGACACACAAATCCCCACTCTCCTGGAATTCATTTTCTAACGGGGAAGCAGACGCCAAACAAGTTAATAAAACAGGTTGTTAGAAAGCCATCATGCTTTGGAGACAGTAACAGCAGGGAAGGGGGATAGGAATCCTTGAGAGAGGGGTGAAATTTCTCATAGGGTGGCCAAGGAATGCTTCAGGTGACTTGAGCAAAAAGCTAAAGGAGGTGCGGAGTGAGGCAGGAGTGAGGCAAGAACTTGTCCAGCGAAAGAGAGTTCTAGGGAAAGAGGATTACAGCTGCAGAGGCCCGGAGGGAGGAAAGGTAAGGAGGGTAAGGAGGGTTGAACTGAGAAACGCTGGAGTGTGAGCCGGGGGGGGGGCGGGGGGGGGGCGCGGGAGTGGGAGAAGACGAAGGCAGAGAGGTGACAAGTTGTATGGGGCCTCATGCGCCGCCACGTGGTGAGAACAGAAAAAAAAAACGTAGTCTGACATGGAGTCAGTCTGGCAGCATGTAGGAAACAGTGTGGGAGTAGGGGTGGGAACAGGAAGACCGTGGAGGGGCCTTTCACAAGGAATCAGGTAGAAGACTAGGATGGACAAGATCAGGGTGTGGGCAGAAGAATGGGTGAGGAGTGAGCAGAGTTTGCATACGTATTGAGAATTTAGTGCTTTGTAGCTTTATCATATTAATATTAATGCTTAAATTTATTCTGCAAAGCAGAACAAGTGCTACTATGAGAAGTTACAAACAACCCCCAGGACCAATCCACTGGCCTTCACTGTCGTATCACTCCATACCTAGACAGGGCCTGGCACAGAGTGGGTGCTCAGAATGTTTTGAGTTCTCCGGGAAGGATGTTCCAGAGCACAGAAACATTTTTTTTTTTAAAGATTTCATTTATCCATTTTCAGAGATGGGAAGGGAGGGGAAACGAGAGGGAGAGAAACACCAATGTGTGACTGCCACTCAAGTGCCCCATGCTGGAGACCTGGACTGCAGCCCAGGCATGAGCCGGGACGTGGAATCAAACCAATGACCTCTTGGCTCGCAATCCGGCGCTCATTCACGGAGTCACAGCAGCCAGGGCATCATTCTTGAAAATCTGTTTAAATGCTAAGATGGAAAAATCTACTGAGTCTATTCTGGATTTCTAGGAGCTGTATTATAATTCAAATGACTCCAACTAGGATAATGTTACACACTTCTTATGGATTTTACTGATTGCCTTCCAACTAAAACTTTTTTTTTTTCTTAAAGGACAAAGATACAGAGGACTTCAGAGTACAGAGTACAGTGCAGATTTAAGGTTGCCAGCTCCAGTTTGTGGAATTCTGGCCCCAACTCCTGGCTTGGAGGTATTTCACCTGCCAACTTGCTCCTCAGACCTGAAACTGGCACTCACAGTGAATGATTAGTGCGTGCCTTCTGGTCTGTGCTGGGGACACAATGTTGACTGAAACAGTCATGGGCCCTGCCCTCCTGGAGCTGCCAGTCCAGTGTGGGAGACAGACCGGTCCCCAGTCAGCGTCAGCCCAGAGTGGTCAGGGCTGGAATGGAGAAGACACAGGCAGAATGGTTAAGGCTGGGATCGGGGAGGCACTGAGGGCTTTTCCCAATATCCCTCCATCTCCTGAACTCCTTGTGAACCTTCCTTTCACCTACCTTCCTGCTCTAACAATAACCTAGCTGCCTCCTGAAGACACGCCTTTCATGAAGCCCTTCCACGCAGGAGCTGTTTTTCTCCTCCTCAGCCCTGATGTCCACTGGGCCTTACATGGGATAAGATCTCCTTGCTCCGCATTGCCACTTCTAAACCACTCCCTCTGTCTCCTGCCTAAGCCCTTAATTTTGAAGCTTCTACGATAGCACCTTTTCCCATTCTTGTTCCCAGCTCTATGAGCTCCTTACGTCATTATTTTAGCTCCAGGTTCACTGCCACTCAAGCTGCTCCTATTACAATTCTTGGTGATTTTTGAATTCAGGTAGATGATCCTTTGAGTTCTGGCCTCTTGGAACCTCTCCTCCAGCGATCTTGTTGTCCACTCAACCCTTCCTTCTCATGGTTACACCTAGACTTTGTGCTGAGGATGCAGTGGTGATCATAGCAACCCAGAGGTCCCAACCCAGTTGGGGAGAATAACCTACCCCCAGAGAGGAACAGCCCCCAAACCACAGCCCCAAACAGAATTTCAGTTACAGGTACCTCACTGTCTGCCCATCGCCTCCTATCTCTCCAGCTCCCTCCCTCCAAAGCTATTGCTCCAACAATCCCAGCCCCAACAATTCACTAAGCTGACCACCTTCTCCCTGTCCCCACCTGCTCAGGAACACACTACTTCCACCACCCAGCCCAGCCCCCACCCATCATAGTCACCACTCCTTTGCTCACACCCTCACACTATGTGCTCTTTTCTAACTTTGTCTTTTCCACCCCATGGAGTCCACTCTCCTCTGCAGCTGCACCCTGGTGGCTGAATGTGGATGGAGAAAAACACACACCCTGACTGGTCTCACTCTGTACTTGCTGCGACCACAAGCCCATGTGGGGCCTCATGCTGCCCAGCCATTCCGTCACATGTCCCTAACCCATTCATTTCCCATTTTATTATTTTCCCTATTAGTTGTATTCATAACCTGTGTTGATTTTTAAATGCTTTGTTAAGGCACAGTTTGTATATCATAAAATCCACCTGTTTCAAATGTGCAGCTCAGTGAGTTTTAGTAAATTTATAGAGTTGTTCAACCATCACTGTAATGCAGTTTCAGGACACTTCCGTCATTCCATTGCTTACAAATGGAATCATACACTATGCAGCCTTTTGTGCCTGGTTGTTGTCACTTGGCATAATGTCCCACGTCACTAAGTGTTTCAGTAGTTCATTCCTTTTATCGCTAAGGATTTCATTGCATGGCTATGTCACATTATGTTTATCCATTAACATGTTGATGGACATTTAAGTGGTTTCCAGTTTGGGGAGTATTAAGACTAACATTGCTACGAACATTTATGTACAAACGTTTGTGTGGACGGGAACTTCCATTTTTCTTGAGAAGAGTCCTAGGAGTCGAATGGCTGAGTCCCGTGGTAAGAGTATGTTTACCTTTTTAAGAAACTGACACACTGTTTTCCTAAGTGGTTGGGCCTCTTTTCTGGAAAGATTATTTTATACTTTCTCCTGTCTCAAAGACCTCCCTCCCCTTCCTTTGTTACTCCTAGCTGATGACCTTGCTCCCCACTTGAATGAGGAGGTAGAACTTCACTATTCTCTATTTGCCAGCCAACTGCACCCGTTCCCTTATATGCTGTAAAAGAAAACTTTCTGTAGTCACACATTTCACGATGACACCAACCGTGTGGTTTGTCCACACACCAAGCAAATCTCCAAGTCTCTGAAGACTCCAAATGGTGTCCTACAATTCAAGGTTAATCGGGACACTAACTCCCTGGAGTTAGCATGAGACCTCACAGGCTAATGGCTCAGTCCCTCAAGACCGCCTGTGCTTCAGACACCCATGGCAAGTCTAGCTCCCCACCCCCCATACTTCTGCCTGACTGGCTGTAAGTCAGTTTTCATGAACTTCTCCTCTGTCCAATAATTTGCTAGAATAGCTCATAAGACTCAGGAAAATGCAGTGGGTACTTTTACTGGTTTATTATAAAGGATACAACTCAGGAACAGGTAAATGAAAGAGATGTACAGAGCAAGTTGTGGAAGAAGCAGCACGCATCTTCCATGCCTTTCTAGGAGTGCCGCCCTTCAAGCCACTCGGTGTGGCCACCAACCCAGCAGCTCTCCGAACCTTGTTGTTTAGAGTTTTTACAGAAGTTTCATTACGGAGGAACAATTCATTAAGTCATTGACCATTAGTGATGAACTCAACCTTTGTCCCCTTCCCTTTCCTAGAAGTGGGAGGTGATGAAAGTTGTAGCCCTCTTAGTCACATGGTTGGTCTTTCTGGAGGATATTTCAGCCAAACCCAAGACATCTCACACTGAACACAGAGTAGATGCTCAGACATGTTTGTTGAATAAAAAATGGTCACAGCCAAGTCCTAAGGGTTAGTGTTGCATACATGTTTCAGTGAAAAACCAAATTAGGACCAAGTATTCAGAATTCTTCAGAAGCTGTCATGACTGGGAACTTCACAACTTGATTAATTAAAAATATATTTTTAAAGACTTTATTCATTTATTTTTAGACAGAGGGGAAGGGAAGGAGAAAGAGAGGGAGGGAAACAACAGTGTGTGGTTGCTTCTTGCGAGCCCCCCACTGGGGACCTGGCCTGCAGCCCAGGCACGTGCCCTGACTGGGAATCAAACCAGTGACCCTTTGCTTTGTAGTCTAGCGCTTAATCCACTGAACCACACAAGCTAGGGCTAAATTTTAATACCCAGATTGAAGAAGTGGCTTATTTCAATATTTTCAAAAATCAATGTACAGCCTAGGGTGTTCTGGATGGCGCTGTCCAATCCAAATGTATGTGATAGAAATGACCTCTAACTGTGCTATCCAATATGGTAGCCACCAGTTCCATGAGGCTGTTAAACATTTGAAGTGTGGCTGCTGACACATGTAGAAATGATATTAT